AATCGTAGGTTACAGGATAACAACGCATAATGTCTAGAGTACTGGAAATATCGATTTATAACCTGTAGGTTATTTACTAACGATATTGTGTCAAGTAATTATTTGAAATGCATGTTTCCTGTTGTTATCATAACAAATGATGAAATAAGTAATAAGATTTTATTCCAAAATTGAACTTTTATTTATCAGTATGCAAGACAATCCATAAACAAGAATAAGTCATGCTGTGTTATCAATATACTGAACACGTGCATGTTTACATATATCTGACAAGGAAATGTGATAACATAAAGTGTCAGCTTTCCTCGTGCATGATCTACGATCAGGTTTTCGACGAAACTTCCGTCAATCGTTTTACTGAAAAACAGAATCTGAATGTATAATAATAAGATCACGACTCTGCATCCAGAATTGTTTGATCTGGTGTAAGTATTATATATATCTAGTAAATACATGTAGTGTAAATTGAAATTTATTAAACTTCGTCTGCTTTCCTCACACCTACCAAGTAGCGTGTTTGTAAATGTTGTATACACCTTCATGTTCAATATACTACAGTATACATTTCTATACAGAACAAAAACACAGGAAACATTGTTTACAAACCTGAACAAGCAGCCAAGCAATGTGGTTTTGTGTTATATCTGTTTCCATTTCCTCCACAACCCCCGTAAACAAATGCCTTACATTGACGGGTCTTTGGATCGTAGTAATACCTGGGGAAATAACCATAACAATGTCCTGGGTCAGGTGGAGATTTGCAGTCCTGACCTGTGAAGAAAGGAAGAATTCACTGTTACTTGAAAAGTGTATCGGTTAAGTGTAATTAACCTTATGAAACTAAATATATGGTATAAAAACTGTTTGCTGGATCGTAGTAATAGTTGGTAAAGAAACCGTAGCAAGGTCCTGAATCAGGTGGAGACTTGCCGTTTTTATCCTGACCAGTCACACTCACTACTGTATACGTTGAGTTTAATAAATCTTAGGAAGGTAATTACTTAGAATAACACTGTTTCATTATACGTATTTCTATTTAAAATGTCTAACCCTAGCGTCGATTAATGTTTTTAAATTTTACAGTTAGGGTATTTTGGAACACAGTTATCTTTCAGTGTAATTCAATGATACGAAATATTTCCATGTTAGATACCTTGACAACAATATTCCAGATTTGTACGTAGAAATTTAAATGAGTTCGAAATAGTAATGTTGCATAAAAACAAGTGATTTGTCATAACTAACCACGAACACTTTTTATGAAACTTCTGAGAAACTGACAAGTGATCCAACCTCATGTGACTTTACGGAATTGTGTAACTTCAGAAAAACTAGTACCTCTTAGTTTTATAATAATGTACTAAACCTGTTTTATATACCCATGGATATTACGTTATGCACTTTCTTCTATATCCACAGGTTATTTAATGACCTTCCTTCAATATCCACAGATGACCTAACGACCTTCCTTTTATATCCACAGGTTACCTAATGACCTTCCTTCTATATCCACAGGAAACCTAATCTCCTTCATTCTATATCCACAGGTTATTTAATGACCTTCCATCTATATCCACAGGTGACCTATTGTCCTTCCTTCTATATCCACAGGTGACCTATTGTCCTTCCTTCTATATCCACAGGTTACCTAATCTCCTTCCTTCTATATCGATACTACCAATCGGGTATTCTTTCATTTTGAGGAGAGAGAGGTGGGCTTTGTTGTTTTGAAAGATCTTTTTTTTTTTGCAGTAAAGATGA